TCGACTCAACCGGGGAGAGTTGTGTACCATTGCACAATAGATAAGTGTATTTACGTGATCCGAGCTGCGTTTGGTTTTTGGTCCGAAATTTCCTGCTCATAAGCACGGCTCAAGGTCATTGGGTACACTTTATTTTCGGTTTTTTTTTTAGGCCACACCCGTGGCCGAAAAAAAAACAAAAGGTTTTAGTTTGAAATGCGGTTTTGTGTAGAGGTTGAGGATTTTTGATTTCATTTTGGGCCTCCCTTTTCCGGTTTTCTCATAAGCCCCCCACATATGACATATATGCAAACCCCCCCGAACTGCATAATCTATATATCGTAATCGTCATCGTCACAGGCAAATGCACCGCTGGCTGACCTTTTGCAATAATCGAAAGTATTGCTATGCGATGCCGAAAGAAAACCGAAATTTCCCAATCCAAAAAACTTAAAAATCGAAATGGAAATGGAAGAAAAAAAAAACCTGAAATGCATATCGGTCTCACTTGGATTGCGTCTAAATGAAAAACTCTATAATAATAATAGCTGGCTGGAAAAAAGATGAAGATGGTGAAGAAAAGAAAAGTTAGGCTTTCGTCACGCTTATACAATTTTTTGTTTATTTATTTTCGGTTTTTGTATCGTCTTTCGGCTGCGCGACTGCGCAATGCCTCAAAGCCCCCGAAAGGCCCCCTAAAACCCCTATATATAGAGGAGCCCCATTCCAAAACTTCGATTCCGTTTCCAGCTTCGATTGCAATTATCTCGCTCGGCTCGGCCGTTGTCTAAATGAATTCAATTAAAAATTCACAATCGACAATAAATAACCCCGGCTCGGCGGCATTTTCACTATGCTATACTTATACTCATACTTCGGCGGACTTTGAGATACCCGAGCGAATGCAAAAAGCCAGCAAAATGGCAGGAAAAAAAAGGCTAAGCGAAAAGTAAACAAAACAAAGCTGAAATCGCATTGCACAGTGGGCTAAAAGCTGACGGAAGTTGTGCAGGTGATTCATGCGTTCTTGAACAAGTGAATAATGGGTTTCTTCCTTCTAAAATAATTAAATTAAATTTAATTTAATTTACCATTGAGTAATTATTACTACATTTTTGAATGAATACATTTGATATTGCATTAAGTTGGTTGAATACAACCTTTTTGATTTTGATAATAGTTCTCTAAATGAAATTGCAATAAAACAAGTAATAAACAAGATTTATTTACAGTAAATATGGGTAAATATTTTTTTTATGAATATATTATTAAGCATAATAATTTAGTTGCATTTATAAAATGAAAACTTTTTAATTTACATTATATTTATTGTTTTATAAACGATTAATATTTATTATACCAGCCGAGTATTTAACATAGTTTTGATAAGATTCTTAGATGGTATCTTGTTAAAAGAAATTTCTTGCCTTTTAACCATTTAAAGTTATACCCAATGACCCAAAAATGATCACTTACTTGTGAGTAAACAAAATCGATTGTAAAATGCCGGCCAGTGACACTATTTCACCCACTCGAAATGCTATCTTATCGCCGGGTGCATTCAACTTGGCTTTAGTTTAGAACCACTGTACATATACGTATATACATAGTATGTATGTATGTATATATGCGATATATCTGAAGCGAAGGTAGTTAGCACTCAGTATGCATAAAACTGCGAAGTGGCGAGCGTGGGAAAAAGCATTGGCTAATCTCGAAACCCCACCAAACGGGCCAAGTTTGACCAGTTTGCGATTTTGGTTATGGTTATTGGGATTGGAATGGGGATTGGAATTGGGATGACTAGGCTTCACTTCCCCCTTGCAACAACGCACATTACTCATACGCCGCGTGGCCTACTCGGCAAAAAAAAGGGTCAAGAGACTCAAGACTTTTTGGCGGAGAATATCGAATATCGACATCCATAGATATGCGGATCTGTTATTATGATCCGGGGCCTGCCTTTAAAGACTTTCATTCATAGAAACTTTCAAAAGCGAAGACAATAAAAAATAACACGAAAAAACTTCCAAAGTGACCATCAAGAACTGGCCGCTAAAAACGGGTTTCTTTCGGCTTTTTAGCTTTTTAGCTTATAGCTTTTGGGTTTTGGCCATAATTTTCGTCTTATTTCTTGTATTTCTCCGCACCCTGGCAGAATACAATTTTTGCAGATACATTTCGCAGGCAATCTAACAGTTGGCCGCTAATGTGATTTGTGAATGTTTCGACGTGTATTTCGTTTGAGTATTTCGTATTTCGCAAGGCGAAGTAAATAAATTACATTGGCAGTTTAACGACGTCGTCTTGCCGCTGGAAATTGTCGCCGATTGGCGGCTTTTGTTTGAGTCTAAGATTTCCAGGCCGGTTGCAGCAGGGCTAAGAGCCCCCCGCCCCTCCCGCTGCAAATTGCTGGCCATTTAACAAGCCAATAGATACAAAGCCGAGTCACACAATGGTCACACAGAGGAACAAAGACACAATGCTAGCCAGGGTACAACGTGGGCCAAATGAATAGCTCTTAAAGTGTCTTCCATAATATAGAAAAAATACCTCGCTTTAAAAAAACTGTTATAATATTAATAATAATAATAATATATCAGCTAAGAAACTGTCAAAAAACATTCAAATTGGAAAAGAAAAATTTAAAATCACAATCAATGATTAATATTATTATTCTACCATTGGTTTATCTGCGATATTTTTATTTAAAGGTCAATATTCCATGAGAATACCAATAATATTGCACTTTATTGATATAATATAAGATATTCCTTTAAGTGATGAATAATAAAATATATTTAAATATTATGAGAAAGCAATAAAATTAACTTATCGTTAATAGTATTTTATTTAATTAATATATTCAATTAATAGTACTATTTTTGTGAGCTGCATTGCATCTAGATATGTGGTCATATGGGACATGGGATACACAACCTGCTGCCGATGAGCTTCAATGGTTCGCGATCGCTTGATTGACAGTTAGCTAACCGTTTCGAGTTAATACAAGTGTTTAACAGTTAGTCGGCGTGGAAATAGTAGTGAGAGATACTTGCCGCCAAGGAAATGCTATCATACCTCGTATACATAAGTACGCATTGTTGCATGGGAAATGGAAAATGGGAAACGGGGGGTTGTGCAAACAGCAAACAGCACTTATCTGCCGATGATAACTGGAGCAACGGAACCAGTTCTTACGCTTCTGATAAAACAACAATCGACAATGGCAATACGATTTACGATTCCGGGAAGCAGGAAACTAGTAATGAATGGTAGAACTTTAATGGATCTACTGCGGTCTGATTCTATTCAATTGCCTGTGTTTGCTTTCTTGTGGCAAAAAGAGTTATTAAAAAGAGTTATTCGGGGAAATCGTTGAAGAAAGGTTTCTTTGAAATTTAAATACATAGAAAATCAATCTCTAGAAAATACAAAAAATTTACCTTTTTTCTTAAAAGTATTTAAAATATTTAATATTTATGTTAAAAATATTAAAAATCATGTTAAATACAATGACAAACAAAACCATTTAAATTTCTTGTGACACGAGCAACCTTTTTAAACAAATTGCATGTTTACAAAATTGCGAAACGTTTTGGAGCATTTCGAAATTTGGCAAAACACACACAACGCCCGAACCTTTGACCCTCACCCCAAACAAAGTGTGAACTAACGTGGCTGTAATTTACTTTGAAGTGAAGACCCAAGAAGTCGCAATTTGTGTCAACCAAAGTTTTGCGAAAATCCCCGGCCGTAAATAATATAGAGCCTCTGCCCTCTGCAAAACGGGGAGACATTTTGGTGACCTTAACCTTAACCCCAATTTCTGTGGCTTTTTTCCCCATTTTTTAAGGGGAAATCTCGGGGAAAAGAAATACAAAGTATATACATAGGCTTACTAAAAACCAGTTGCCGCAGTTGCAGAACCTTACAAGTGCCTCGCGATCTTGGCCTGAACGAGTGAGTTGGCCCGAACGGACAGATGGAAATTGTTGTACAAAATATGGGTCGTGCGACAAGAAATGAGAAAGTGCCAGTGGAGCTGCTGAGCTGCTGGTTCCACAGACCGTTAGAATCGACTTTATGAATGCAAGTCTTGGGCTTGGCCAACGGAGATCGAAGAGCCACTAATGGCAGCGGGTTTTCGAGGGGTTTTCCCCCATCTCCATCTCCACATCTCCTTGGACCACCAAAAAAGCACTCGAGCTGCCAGCGAGTAGCGTGCAAAAATGGAACGATGCCAGAAAATAGCCCCAGAGAATGTGAGAATAATCGAGAAGAGACCAGAGAAATATGGGAGTGAATAACAAGGAAAAATTATAACTAAATCTTAGTTCATTTAATAAATATTTCAAATAGGTATTACATTTAAGAACTTATTTTTAGTACAAATTTGAAATATTAGAAAAATAGTTAGGCAGTGAAATATCAAAACCACATAAATGTTCCATTTAAGATCAAAGAATATAACAAATTAATTAGGAAAAAATATTTAAAATTTTAGTAATAATATTAGCGTTATTTTTTAAGACTTTTCTGGCTTATCGCCTCTCATATATCATATCATATTATAATAATTATTACTGCATACGCAGCTCTATTTGGTCAGCATCATTAGCTGATTTGTTGGGCGCCATTAATTTATTCGCTCGCCTCTTTCGCTTTTGTCTTATTAATTTGCCTGCATGTTCGAAACTGTCAATGAGGCAAGGTCACAATTCGGTTAAGGAAACCGAAAGAGAACTCTTGAGATTTCGAAGATAAATGGGGGAGACTGGTTGAAAGGTGACCTAGGCAAGTGGTAGCCCCGATTAGAGCGTGAAATAGGAAGTCTCTTACAATCTTAAAGCTACTGTTCTTATATTATTAATTATTATGTGTTTTGAAAATATTGTTAAAAATATTTAAGAAGGTAATATATGTTTTATTGGTAAAAACTATTTATATTTTTTTTTATTTATTTATTTTAATTATTTTTAAAATTTTCCCATTTTTTTTCAGTGACCTCCTCGGGATCCGGATGTCGGCTGCCACGCACATGGCGCTGCCGGCTCACGCCATCGTCCCGCCGCCGCCGGGAACGCCACCGGTGGCACTGGGGGGCAGCGGGTGCTCCAATCTCAGCCTGCCGCCGGGCAAGCGCGGCCACAAGCGCAGCGTTTCGCTGGAGAATAACGCCCCGTTGACGCTGCGCAGCACTCCCAGTTTGGGCCACCAATCCTCGCTGGGATCGCCGCTGCTGCAGTTCGGGCTGCAGGCTCAAGGTCACGGGCAACAGCAGCAGCAGGCCTTCCACACGGGCACGCTGAAGTCGCGCCAGGAGCAGCGCCGGCTGAGCCAGAAGTTTGGGAGCCACAGCAACCTGGATGACGAGGGCGTGGGAGTGGGCTTCCAGATGCGCAGCAAGTTCCAGAACATCCGTCAGATGTTCGAGCTGAGTCGCAGCTGTGTGGGCGGCGGCGGAGGAGGCGGGGGAGGCGATGGCAGGGGGGGCGGGGCCGAGGAGGAGGCAATGCAATCTCTGCCAGCAACATTGCCGCAGCAGCAGCAGCAGCAACAGAGGCGGACCACGCCCATAGCCGGCGGAAGTCGCCAGCAGCAACAACAATTGGGCGAGGCGGAACAGGTGAGGCTCACAGATGCACTGGGAGAAATATTTATAGAATATTAAAATACATTTTTACATATTTTAAATTTTAATATTTATTCTCACTGAGTAAAATATTTTATTTTATCAAAAATTGAATTCAAACATACTATAAGTACATTTTAAATTATTAAATTATATTTAATATTTTGTATTGGTATTCTTAAAACTATATAGTAACAAAAAGAACAAATTGACATTTTACACTGATAAAATCGCCTTAAAATCGCCTATAAACCTTTAGTAAAATCACTTTTAAATATTAAAACTTCTAGAATTTTAGAATGACATTTTTATGAGTGTATCTAACCCTAAAAATATTTCACAAGTATTATAATTTTGTGCCTTGGCTTCGAACCCATTAAAACCAATTTGACTTTCCAGACCAGCGGCAACTTTCTGCGACCGATCGCCTTCAAGCCGATTCCATTTGAGCCGGACTATCGCATCGCCTGCCAGCAGCAGCAGCAGCACCAGCAGCAATTGCAGTTGCAACAGCAGCAGCAACAGCTGCAGCTGCAACACCACCAACAGCAGCAACAGCAACAGCAGCAGCAACAACAGCAACACCAACAGCAACATCAGGCGCTGCCGCTGCCGGCGGAGGGCGGGACTGAGCGGTATGGCTACGGATCGACTCCGTCACTTGCCCCACTGCCCACCGCATCAGCCCAGAAATTTGGCAGTGAGTAGCAGTTAACATTCCGCTTTATCTAGATTAAATAGTCACTTGACATTGGGGGCACTTCCAAGCGATAAATTATAAATTATCTGTGAAGTAAAGTGGACAAGATTAGGTTTGTTTTAAAGGTATTTTAAAAGAGTCTTAACTATGGTAAATATATTATTTAAAATTTATAAATATAAATAATATATAAATATTAATACTATTAAATGTGCATCGCTTTTGATTAATAGGTACCACCGATCTGCGACATCTGGCCGCCCGGCGTCGCAATCATCGTTTGCTGCAGCGTTCCAGCAATGAGGATGCCCTGACCCTTGACCTCTTGAGCACCGGAAGCCACGACAGACCCGATGGGGCCAGCAGGTTTGTTCTTCTGCCAATTAGATAATCTACAAAATATTATAAAATATATATATTCACATAGCAAAAGCAGCGGCACAGTGGTGGGCAGCAGCGACCTGACTCCCTCGCCCTCGGATTCCGGGATCTCGGAACTGGAGGCGGCCCTCAAGGATCGCGACTCGGAGCTCTCGTACCTGCGACAGGCGATGGAGCACAATGAGAAAGTAATTTTCCAAGTACAAAAGGTTAAGCAGGTTAACCCATTGAACGCATATTTTAATACAGGGGTGCTTGCGGTCACATGAATATCTTGCATTGGGCACACGCCGATTCTTCTGTGTGTCGTTGTTCTGAGCACCCTTGTTTTAATGTGTTTCTTAATTCTACTATCATATATCATATATATATATTTCTGTAGGACAAGGAGGTGTACTGGGAGCACGAGACGCAGCGCCTGAGGCTCTTCTACGAGGGCCAGCAGCGCGAGTGCCAGCTGAAGCTGCGCAAGATGGAGCAGCTATTGGGGCTGCAGCAGTTCCAGCTGAAACAGCACAAGCTGCGCCAGTCGGAGCAGGTGAATCGGCTGCAGCAGCAGCTCGATTTGGCCAGGGACTCCGGCCAGGGGCTGCAGCAGCAGGTGGACGCACTGCGTCACCAGCTGGAGGACAGCGAGTGGCGGGTCTGCGAGCGCAACGGGGAGATAGCTTTACTCAAGACGCAGCTCAAGGAGGCGCATGTGGGTTTTTATATAAATATATCTAAATAAATAATATAAATAAATTAAAAATTAATCTTCCTTATTGCAGCTGGAAATCAACATGAAGGATCATGCGATTGTCAGCCTGAAGCACAGCAGCAACAGGAGCAGCAACAGCAACATTAAGTCCTGTGAATCAACAACACCAAGCCAAAGTCAACCAAAGCAGCAGGCGAAGGAGGAACAGCAACAGCAGCAACATCAGCAGGAATTGCAACAGCAACAGAAGCCACAAAATCAGCCCGACCAGCAGCAGCTGCAGAAGATCATCGCCCTGAAGGATCAGGTGATCGGAGCCCTTACCAGCGAACTGGCCAAGCTGCGCAAGGAGCTCTCCGATCTGGCCATTGCCCATGAGTACGGCGAGGAGCCGTGTGGCCGGTACACTCGGCTCAAGCAGCAGCTGGACAACCTGAACGAGATCTGCCAGAAGACGCGAAAGTATGCCACTGCGACTCCGGCTGTTAGCCCGGATTTGGCGCTGCCCAAGCTGGATGTCCTGGTGCAGCGATTGCAACTGGATCAGGGACAGGGATCGGGACAGGGATCAGGACAGGCGGGACAGCAAACGCTGGACACCCTCATCGAGGAGTCGACCACGTATGCCGAGGACATAGCCAAGCTGCGCCAGAAACTGGACGATTTTCGCCTGAATCTCGAGCTGGAAAAGCGACAGTGGTGCGCCGAGAAGGACAAGGTTTTGGGATATCAGAAGCAGCTGCAGGCCCACTACATTCACATGTACCAGAAGCTGCGCTGCCTGGACAGCGGCGGCGGCGGCGGCGGCGGAGGAGCAGCACCTGGACCAGTGGAGACCCACACCAATGGCCAGTGAAAACTGAAAAGAGGATACAATACCATACAACTAAAGATACAGGCAATGGTGCTATCGCCGCTGGGGCAATAAACTAGGCATCCTTTTAAGAACACTTCCTCACAACAGCTGTCTTCAATATAATATAATAAATTAATTGGCTCTTGAAACAAGAATCTTGAGTAAGTTTCTTAATTAGAAACAAAATGATTTCGAAATAAAAGAGAATTGTAATATTATTATTATAAAACAGCTGTTGAAAAAACTTAAAATTATATTTTTCAAATACTTTTTCTTAGGCAATTGTGACAAAATTGTTCAGTTTAAAGTATAAATACTATATAGTATAGTCAAAAAGTTCTTAACTGCTAATCAAAAATCGATATAATGTTTTACATTACTGGTCTATAATTTCACTTGTCTTACCTTTAGGTGTATTATTAAGCCCTCCAGTTTTGGTACTACCAATGTTTCTCCTATACTTCTAGTTTAACCAGTGAGCGCTTTCACATTTTCCTTCCCTCGGCGATAACTAATACACGATTTTCGATATTACCAGAGTTGATGGACACACAAAACTCTATTGAATATTTATACAAAATACGCATAATTGATTTTTTTGTTTTTAATATTTTACAAATATATATATATATGTATACTTTTAATTTATTAAATGTAATTATAAACGAGAAAAAAAAAAAACATTTGTGATTTCGCATGTTGAATATAATATATATATATATATATTGATATATGTATGTCGTTCCATTATGTATATGGAATAAAAAATTATGGTAATGAAATAACAAGATTTTGCTTTATTAATGAGGACCAGCGCTAAAGATAATGTGCAGGATCAATAAATGGTAAATGACTCAACTGGAAGCTAAATATAAAGTAAGTGTAATTGGTAGTTAAAAAAATAAAAAAAATAAAATTTAATACAATCGTTACTCGTAGATTACATAGTATGCTTAAAATGTATCACTAAAGTAGATCGATTTGTTTGAAATAAATAAACGCAGGAGAAAATAAATAATCCTTATAAGCAAATTAGGAAACTAAATTATAGGCTTAATTTTTGGTGTTTTTTGTCTGGCTACAAATTAAAAACGGTTCTATTGGCAAACGGTTCTATTGGCAAAACTCAAAAAGTACTCGTCACTTGGACTATCTTTAAGAAATCAAAAAGTATTTGCTCAAAGGCAAAATGTCAGCATTTTCAATATTGAAAGATCGTTAGTTCTGTGCTGTTATGATTTCGTTTGAACAACATCATTTTTTTACTTGTCTACCAAGAATATTACCATGAAAAAAGAGTTTCTGTTTCTGTTCGCTTTTTCCAATGGCTAAATAGGTTTATAAAAAAACATAAGATATTCATTTTCGCTCTTAGTTTTTGTCCAAAATGATGTAACTTGAATTGTAAATATTTCTTAACTTTCTTTCGAATTTAAATTTTTCTTGTGAAAAAAATAACTATGATTTTCATCTGACAATTACGCAGAAATCTAAGCAAATGTAACTTTTTTGATTTTAAAGAAAATATCCCCTAGCAAGTGTTTCTTCGTTGTTTCTTGTGGGTTGAAAATACGTGTAAATTTGGTATTTGGTTTATAGAAAATGTTGGCAGTTTCAAAGTTGATCTAGTGCCTGTAATTTTTGTTCGTCGAATATAAATCGATATTAAGATAGATAGAAAATATTGGCAGTAATTTCAAAAATAGCCTTGACTCTCCCGAGGATTACCTTCTCCTCCCAATGGTTTTATGTCAAACAAATCGCTCCACAACACACGCACTCATTTGGCAGTCGCACTCGTTCATTCGCACTTATAACTATGGAGGGATCCTGGAATCCTGGAGCGATCCTAGGCGCACTCCTCCACATAGGTGGCCGGAAAGATGCCGATGTGGTTGCGCAGGGCGCCCAGCCACCAGCCGTCGTCCTGCTTGGCATGCACCTCGATGATGTCGCCGGGACTCAGTTCCAGCTCGTCGTAGAGCTTCGGGGTGTAGCTGTAGAGCGCCTTGCAGCGCCCCAATATCGGACCGGATTCGTCCTTCTGGCTCTTCTGCAGATCCTGCGCATTCTGATAGAAATGCTGCGTCTGCATTTGCGCCTTGATGGCTGGATTAGGCTGCTCCTGTGACTTCTCCGGCAGCTCATCCTCGTCCTCGTCCTGCGAGCTGAACTCATCGAAGTCCGAGTCCTGCTGATTGGATCCACCATCCGCCTGGCCGCGATCATGATGGTGATGTTGGTGATGGTGATTGTGATTATGGTGATTCTGATGATGACCATCCTGGAGATTGGCCAGAGTTTTGGACTTAACGGACGCGGCGACGGCCACCGCGGCATTTGTAGTCGAGATTATCTTTGGTTGGCTGGTGAAATTGGTCTCGATGTTGCTCTTGCTCCGGTTGAACTGCTTCACCACCGAACTGATGTCCGTGCAGGAGCCGTTGCTGTTGTTATTGCTATTGCTGCTGCTGTGCAGGTGCGAGGAGCCGTTCTCCTCGGGCAGCTCATCCTCGTGGTTAGTATTGGTTATATCGGTGACATCGTGCGCCAGCATACTGGTCGATTGCTGCGTCTGCGACTTGTCGTTGTTCTTTAGCCAGTTGGGCACCTTCAGGATGCTCTGCTGCAATCCAGTGCGGTCACGGGTGATCTGTGGGATTTAATATGAAGATATTGCATTAGAATTTTATTACATAAGCATTACAAGTATGATTTAAAATATATTTTAATTAGAAATTAATATTTAAAACGATTTTTAAGAATAATTTAAATGAAAATATTATTTTAAATGATTTTCAAGAATAATTTAAATGGAAATTGATATTAAAAATTATTTTTAAGAATAAATTAAATAAAAATTGACATTAAAAATGACTGTTAAAAATAATTTAAATTGAAAATATTATATGCAATTATTATTTCAAGCTCTAACGCCCACCTGAATGTGCTGGGCCAGTGGGTGAGTGGTCCTGGGCTTGTGGTCCAGCTCCAAGAGGGCCGAGTGCAGCTTGAGGCGGGCGCCCTCCAAATAGGTCAGCATGGAGCGGATCTGCAAGTAACGATATACAATTGAGTACAACAATAAGGCATAAAATAATATAAGAAACCCACGTGATAGAGCTTGTCGGTGATATTCTGGTGCTCCTGGTGGTTGAGCGACTGCGACAGGCCCCTCAATCCGTCGCGGGATCGGCGCTCGCGCTCCAGGTCCGACTTGACCAGTTGGAGCAGCTTAATGAGGGCGTGCTTGCGGCGCTCGCGGTTCATGGCCAGCGTGGTGTGCTCGCAGTAGAAATCAGGCAGCAGCTGCTCTGAGGGACCCTCCGAGTTGCGGCGGATGTGGCGCACCACCTGCATATCCTTGGCCACATTGCAGGCCTCCAGCTGCGGCTGCAGCCGGGTGCTCAGGCCACCCAGAATGGGATTCATGTCCGAGATGAGACGCGCGTACTGCTGGGCAAAGTTGTGCATATTGCCCAGTCGCTGCTGCTCGCTGCTCTGGAGCTGGGCACTTCCACGCAGCACGGCCATCTCCCAGTCGACACGGGCACGCTCCGCACGGACGCACAGGGTGTAGTACTCGACATCCGCCCGCTTTACCGCCTCCTCGGCCTTCTTGCGCTTGTTGTCCAACTTAACGCAGTCCTTCTCCGCCGACTTGAGCTCCTTCTCGGCGGCCTGCTTGTTGGGGCCCTGGTGGAGCAGGGCGATCGATGGCGACTTCTGGATGCGCACGTCCAGCATTGCGTCCTGCAGCTTCTCGTTCTCGCGGGCCGCCGTGTGGGAGGCCTTCTTGGCCTTCGCCTCGCTGGCCCGCCATTCGCCCAGCACTCGGGCAGCCTTGTCCACATTGCTCTCGACCTGAGGAAGTTGGAAATTCCATGTATTTAATATATATAATATTTTTTTTAGTATTTATAGCAATGTAATATACCGTCTTGCGTGCCTTGTGGTGTCCTTCGACGACGCTCTTGAGCGGCTTGACCAGCTCATCGGTGAGCGAGGCCGCCAACTGGCGATGGATGTCGCTGCGGCTCTCCATCTCCGTAGCCACTCCACGCCAGGCGTCGGCCACGCTCCCGGGGATCTCCCTGCCGGCCTTGTTCAGCTTGTTGGCCAGCTTCGACAGCGACTTGGAGTAGATGAGCTCCGAGTCGGCTCTGTATTAAGAGAAATGTATTTATTATTATGTTTATATGTAATATTTTTATTTGTAAAATTTTTTAAACTCATTACATAACATTTATAATATTTAATCAATTTCAATATTTTTAGTTTTTATTTATTTATTATCTTAAATTTTTAATTTTGTATTATTTCATCACCATATTTACATTTAATGCTCTTTTAAGTTATATTTTATATTATATTATATTATATATATATTTATTTTTTATTTTTTTTTTATTATTTTTTATTTTTTTTTATTATTTTTATTATTACTATTATTATTTTTGTATTATATTTTTCGTTATTTTATTTTTTATTATTTCTTTTCATAATTTTTATTTTTTATTTTTTTTATTATTTTTTTTTTTATTATTTTCTTTTTTTTTATTATTATTTTTTTTTTATTTTAATTTATTTAATTGGTGGGCCAACTCAATTATGACATCTCAAATTCAATTTTAAAATCCCTTAAAAAATTCTAAACTCACCTCTCCTGCAGGACGAAAATTAGCTCCTTGCTGAAGTCGCCGCCCTGTTTTACATATCGCCGAAGTTCCTCGAAGCCGTTCTGTCCCTGTTTTTTTGGATACCAAAGAGTTAACCGATTAGTAAACCGTTTTAGCCGGCAGATAAAACCTCCCCATTACGCAAACCCCCGACCAACAACAACTAGAACAACTACTACATGGACCTGTACCTCATCCTTGAACCGCTTGGCATGCGGCGACAGATCCTCCTCGCTGTTGCGGTGCGACACGGACGACTCCATTTCGGTGCGTTCGGTGACATCCTCGCAGCTCTCGGTCATTTCGCGACGACTGCGATCCGGCGACAGCGATACGCGACTGGCATCCTGGGTCGACTGGTTGAGATTGCTCCGCGATTGGGCCAGACGCTTGAGCGGCGTCTGCTGACGCACTGCCTCCTTGATCCTGGAGCCCTCCTCGCCCAGCCAGTGCTTCATGCCGTGCCAGCCCTTGCGCAGCTTCTCCTTGTTGTGATTGAAGTTGATCAGCGTCTGGTTCTTGTTCTTCAGCAGCGTAATCCTGCGCTCGCTGGGCTTCAGTTGATCGCGATGCGTACAGTACTCCAGATCGATCTCCTTGCCAAAGTCCTCGGTTTCGTTGATCTGACGAGACAGCTCCTGCAGCTCGTCAATGGACACAAAGAGATTCTGGGGATTGAGGCTCTGGCAGCTGACCGACTTGAGATCAAAGTCGTATTCCCCATGGCTTTCGCCTCCGCCGCTGCTGCAGGCCAAACTTTGGCGGGAACTCTGATGGGAACTCAGGTGGGACCGGGAGTGCGAGTGCGAGTTGAGCTGAAACGAGTCCAGGCTCTTGAAGTGCGGCTGTTGGGCCAAGAAGCCACCATTTGGTATGGGTGACCGCTCGGCGGATGGCTTCGGTTGATTCTCCTTATTATTCTCCTGATTATCACTGGCCGCCAAACTGAGTTCGCTGGCGCCAAAGAGTTCCGGCAACTCGGGTACATTCAGATCGAGTCCCAGTTTGGCCGGTGCCGTAACGTTCATGTCCAGAACCATCGAATTCGACTTGTGCAGGTAGATCGTAACGCTGCGATGAAGATTCTGCACGGACTGCGATTGCCTTTGCTGGCGGCCAATGCGAGGTCGTCGCATTGGAGGTTCCATATCGGTGGGTACTGGGGTTGTGGGTCGCTTCACCTCATGAGGGACAACCATCTGCTGTTCCTCCACAACCTCGTGTTTGGGGGTCTGAAATTGTTCCGGCTCCTCGGGTTCTTCTGGTTCTTCCTTTACATCTTTTTTCTCCTCCGCCTGCTGTGGTTCCTTCTTGGTATCCTCCTCGGTTTCCTTCTGATTCTTGCTATTCTCATCGCTCTCCATCTCCTGCGGACTGCTCCTGGCGTCCACAAACTCATCCTCATCCGAACTCCTGGGCGTCAGGGTTCTCACTATGTTTGAGTTCATGGCTATGCCGCCGCCAATCTGCTTGAGCCTCGCCTCGGTGACATCGAAACGATCCGTGTCCAGAGTGGTGGTGGATATCAAAACGGGAGCACCGATCTCCAAGCGATGGTCATCCGAATGACTGCCGGTCATGTTGTAGCTGCCGGTGTGAAGTTTACTGGGCGAAACTGAGTTATCGCCGTCGTTGGTCGATGGATTCAGATTCATACTGCCGAGATGGCGACGTCCCAGGCGATTTCCCAGCACCGAGTATCGCTTGATCCTGCCCAGAAATCCCTTGGCTCCGCCACTGGAATTGTGGTTGTTGTTATTGCTGCTCACATTGTTGTTGTTATTAGCACCGACACTGGTATTGTTATTGGTATTTCCCGTATTATTCGTATTATTGGCACTATCCCCGATGGGCACTTGGGGCAGATCGGCCATGGCGGTATTATATTTGCCGCCCCGCTTGAATCTATGCAGGTTCATCGTCGACGGCTGTTCGATTTATGACACAAGACACAAAAACATTACAACAAATTCCAATTCCAATTCCACAACTTGCACTCTCGTTCGTGTGTGTGTGAGTGCGTGAGTGCGAGTAGGTGAGAGGGGGAGCAACAACAACTGCAGCAGGCAGCAGGGGCCAAAGGAAAGGTGAAAAGGGGGAGAGCAAACTGAGCCGCTTCTAATCGGCAAGAAGCAAGACGCAAGAGAGAGCCCCAAAAAGGAGAGCGTGAGTCGACCTGGAAGTGACGCTTGTCAATGGGAAGGTTTCCGTTTTCGGGAACGCTTAACAGTTATTCTATTTTATGCTCAAACACAAGTGGAATAATTATATTGCGACTTAAAAATTATCTTCTTCAGTGCAGTTGAGGAATTAAAAAAGTGTGTAAGCAACAGTTATTTGCGGATTCAATTCGAAGTTATAAAGAAGTTATGGTGTTAAAAAACCAAAAATAAATTCCCTGGCAATAACAAATAGAAATATAAAATGCAACGCGTACTTTGTGACTAAATTTACAAACATCGAAAGTATTTGACGGTAAACACTTTCTAAAAATTGTTTTTCTATGAGATTTAATTAATGCGCATTGTTTTATAATGCTAAAAATATGCAATTCTTGCAAGTCACAAATACACGACAAGTAGTCTAACACACATTTATATATATGTATATAAAATAAAGTAATATTTTATTTCTTTTTTAATATTTCTCAATTACTCAATAACTTTCAATTTAAAAACATATTCCCACATACCTTTTAGTCACTCTCAATCACAAAAGTAATTAGTTATTTTAAGCACTTTGCCGAAACACCTTTTCTTGAAGAACATCCACGAGTAAGTGAAGCAATGGATGAAATGGAAAAGCCATTAACTCCCCAAATTAGTTCACATGGAAATTGGAACTGGAAACCATGGCCTAAGGCAACCTAAATTCCACTGGAAGCCTCTTTCTCATAAATGGTTAATCCGCAATATACCCGTAATACCCTGTAGTGGGCGATGTTCACCTACATACTTAAAGCACACAGATAACATAAACACAGGGCGCAGAAAGGAAAAGGAGGTGGAGAAGGAATAGGAGAAAAATGACTCAAGAAAGGTGTGAAGAATCAGGTGAGGAGAAAGGCAAAGAGAAGGGGACTTCACCTTCTGGTGACTCCTGACCCTCTCTCTCCCCACCTCTTTCCCTGCCCCCTCTCTCTTTTCCTGGAATTCCCTTCCTCTCTGCTCCAGTTTTCGATTCAGGTAGAGATTACAAAACGGTTCCAGAATAAGACAGCGGCGAAGGGGGACATGAAAAGGGTGGGAAAAAGAGGATTGAAAAATGGGGAGCAGTGGTTGCTCGAAGAAGGCGGCGGTGAGGAAGAAGAAGCGAACGCACAAATCGCTGCGTTGGCCACTGGAAAAGATGGAAAAACAAAACCAAAGGCTGCCAAGTCGCCGCCCGTGGCGCCCCCATCGACTGCGCAGCGGCAGCGACGACTGCCTGTCTCCTTTTCTGTTTTGTGTCTGGCCGATCAAGTGTGGCCCCACAGCAGCGGTCGTGTTAATAGAAGTGTGTAAAAAATATAAAAAAAGTGTTCAAAAAATAATAATAAATAAAATAATGAATAAATAATTCTAAACGTGTTTAAAAAAAATAAAAAAAAAAACTTTTTTTTTTTTACAACACAAAAATTCAAAATTACTTTTCTATTTAAACCTTTAAAAAATCAATATTAATTTTTCACTAATATTTTTGCAAGAGCACACGTAATACTTTTTCGCTTTTTTTTTGACATCAATTTTTAAATTTGGAAATAAACAAAAAACGTACAAACATATTTATGAACCCATTTATACAAAAGTGCAACTGATTGAACTAAATTAACAAAACCAATTTCTTGTAATCCAGTGTGAAAGCCATTAGATCTATTTTCTAACCTCTATTGTGGAATTTTTATGATCACTTCGTTCCGCTGCTGTTCCGTCGACTTCTTCTTCTTCGCCGCCATGACCAGTCATTCCGTGTTGGTAATTATATAAATCATTTATTTATGAACTATTTACTTTCGAGTTAAGTCAGATAATGGCTATTCTCGACGATTTCTCCCCCTCTCCGCCTCCCTTTTCCAATTTCGTTTACTTCGCTTGAATGAAATGCAAATTGTTTTTAATTTTTCCCTAGGCAGAACGTATTTTCTAATTACAAATGTGCATATAACGCGGGTTAACTCCGATTTCTGTTGTTGCAATTGCATCCCCAAAGTGGAGCAGTGGAAAGGGGAAAGGGATGGGAAGAGAGGAGAGGAGAAGAAGAGGAGAGTAAAGAACTGGGGACAAGAGACGATCATTAAGCCCCAGTTGCTATAACTGTATTGTGATGTAAGATTCGTGCTAAGTTTCTACAAATGCATACATACAATGTACACCTATATTATACAGTGGAGACTCCTAAACAATATACAAAAATAATACCTAATTAGTAAATTGAAAGTCGCTTTAACCCTTTGATAGCTGTTTGAAAGTGATTTTTCCCAAAAGGTAAAAAAAAATAAAATAAAAGATTTAAGAATAATGTTACAATTGATTAGGGTCTCCTTCTTTCACAATTTGAGTAATAACAAAAATATTTATAAAATATTTAATTTTGAAAATATTTTAATAAAAAATCACATTTTGTATCTTTCCAGTGTTCAAGTTTCCCCACCTCAAAGTTAATTGAAGAACAAATCGCGAGTGCTTTTAACAAGTGCCCACTGTACCGGTATTTATGTGGATATCTGGGTTGCCTTTGTTACACTTTTCGCGATTCAAATGGCCGACGTGCGAAACCGTAGTAAGTAAAACAATTTAATTACATTTTGCACTTGTTTGTTGTTGCGGCTAATAGCATTTGCATCGAGAAAGAAGCAGGGGCCAAGAAGATGAAAAAAAAAAAGAAAAAAACCAGAGGGTTAATAAGCAGTAGAGGGAGCGAGAGGGGTTAATCGCTCCGTCTGCGATATGTCACGTTTCGCGGAGGCAAGTGGAGTGCAATAAAGTGGAGTGTGTGACAAGTCAAAAGACAATTCAACTAATGAGCGAGCTTAGCTGAAAAGCCGCTCAAGCAGTCGAGGAAGCAGTGTGCAAGCAGTGCTACACTGGACCAAAAAACGTGGGGGTAAGGTTAAGCGATTTTCTACTAGATAAAACGAAAGTGAGAAAAAATTCACAAAATCCACTATTTCCAAAAAGTTTTCCTAAAATTCCCAACTGGTTCTGACCGAAAAAAAAATTTTTTTATGATAAAGATCATGCGGTCTAGACAAAGTCATTCTTATCAACTATTCTTTAGCTTATTCATCTTGAATAAAAGATATGAACATATATTTGCACAGATGAAGTCATCTAATTAGAGACTAGTTATTCCAGGAAGCAAGATAAGAGCTCTAATTTTTTCCCAGTCTGAGCACATTTTTTCCAAGTGCAACGGGTGGAGTATCAAAAAGAGGTGAGGCAAACCGAGAGGAACCTGCAATTATGGAAAGCCTTCTGCCAACATCTCGCATCCCAGGTTTAAAAGTCAAATAACATAAATTATGGCCAGACGGACGGAAGACGGAAGATCATATGGGATATGGGGGGGCAGGACCCAAGAAGATAAACAGTGAATAAGCCTGCCCGTGGGCCCTTTGGTCGTCTCTATAAATAGAGTTGCCAACTGCGGCAATTGCAGCCACCGACAATTGCGATTCCCTTTGCTGGGGACCTTCGTTTTATGGCAATTTATGATTAATAAAAGGAATTAATCGCCATAATTGGTGGTACCGGACTGCAGTGAAGATCGATCCAATGGATGGATCCACAGTCAAGGTCATCGCAAGGCCGTACAGAGCAGGTCCTCTCGAATACTCAAATACCCAATTTAGTTTCCTCTCGCCCATTTCTATTTTCAATTTCACTTCCGAACTGCGATTTTCCTTCGACGTTTAACGACAGTCGACTGATTTATCGCTGAGCTCAGCTTCAGTTTTTATATCAATTCAAAGTTAGACCGGCAGGTGCACATAGAAAAATTACAAGTAAATTAAAAAAAAATACATATATGGAATATATAGCCTCGAAATAATTTCTTGTACTTAAATCGCTTTAAAAAATTAAATAAAATAACCAAAGATAGTCACTTAATTATACCAATTCATTGGGTTAATTCATTTTCTCTTAGTGTACAATTGAATCCCCTTTGGAAAACTCTATATCCACACCTCTCAATGCCTGGCACTGAACTACGTCCGTCGTGTCGCATTGTACATAAATATAAAATAGAAATTGATTCCCATAAACAAAATGTGCGAAAGTCTCGCGAACACCTGGATATAGTAAACCATTCATGGGATTCGTTTTTCCATTAAAAGATACAGATACCTTGAATTGAACTGATCCTGAATCGTTTTCTTTTCTACAAAGTGCGGTGTTTCGCGTTGTTATGCGACTATTTGCTTGGCATTAATCTTATTCCAGCAGTATTTTATTGGGCGCATTTATCTCATTTAATGTCTAGAACAATATACAAAACGCTAAACTTGTTGTTGCCAAAAAAAGGGGAGAAAAAAAGTAAAACGATTTTCCTGCCCTTTACACTTGGCATCGTGTGCGATCCGGATGATCTTTCGATCTCTCTGCGCCAGCCAAAAATAGAGAAAAGCGAAAAAGAAATAATGAAAAGTAAAGGCGAACCGAAAAACCTTATAGACAGTGTCTGTATGTCGAGTCGACGCTTTCTGTTTCACTTACGCAAATATTTTCACAACTTATCGCAAGATGTTGCGCCAAATGCGCAAGGTCTGAGACCTGAGATCCGAACCCGAATGCAAAAATAATTCTCTTAATGAGGCAACCGAACCAAACCACTCTGTTTGCCTTTCGCCGCATTTCTCGAATGCCATTCAAATGGTTTTCTGTTAAGACTTTCGTCTTTAATCTATGGTCTGATCTGATGCGATCTGATCTGATCTCATCCAAAACCA